ACGATTTTTGCTGACATGCACGAAGGAGGAAGGGCGGGGCGCAGTTCCTGAACTTGAGCACCCTCTAATTCCACACTTAACAGACAACCGCGTCGCGGAGCGCACCCGACGGTGATGCGCATTACGCCGCGTGCAACAGGATTCGGAACCATCCGCAGAGAGAGCTCCGCGGTCCTTCAACCAGGACCGACTTCATCTTCCTTTCGTCAGAGGTGCGACGCTGTTTCGTGCGCTCCATTTTTTTGATATGTTCACTTTCCGTGCGCAATTGTCAACCCGCGCACCTCGTCCAAGTCCATAGTTGACTACCGCGGGCCAAATCAGGTGGATTCAATGTGATTGTGCCTAAATTGGCCCGCAGTAGTCAACTTCTGTCATGGCAACCTGACAACAGTTTAATTTCAACACAGACGTGTTGGAAAGACGTTGGATCAACGTTGAACAATTGTTGGACCAACGTTGGCTACGTGTTGATCAAACTGTTGGAAACACACAACGGTGATGGTCCAACGGTTGGGCAAGGCATTTATCGTCGTTCCAACGCTGGTCCACCACGGGCACCGAGTTGAAAACTTGATGGATTTTTTCCACATTTTTTCTGTTGACACCCCCCAGGCGTCGCAGTCTACTCCGCCTGCCCTCCTCCCGACGACGTCCTCTATTCCGTCGCCACATGTTCCACTACCCTCCTCCCCAACCCCTCCACCATCACTTTCTCTGATCTCGTTGAGGAACAAGACCGACACACTCGGCTTGTTAGATTAGGCCTCGAGCAGCGCCGCCTCAACGCCATGATCTAGCTCAAGTTCATCGCCGTATCCTTTGGAGCATCGACGGTGAAGTTCCGGGCCCTTCTCGACATTGGTGCCACCGACAACTTCATCACGGATGCCTGTGTCAACAAAGCCGACCTCTCTTCCACCGGCTATGATTCCCCGCTCACCGTCCGCCTAGGGGATAAGGACTCAGCCATCGTCGTCGACCGCACAGTCCCCGAGACCACAATGACTGTCGGTCCTCTTCGCAGTCAGGTCTCCTTCGATGTCATGCACCTCATGTGCGACATCGTACTCGGGACTCCTTGGCTCGACCGCTACATGCCCTATACCTTCCACCCCTCTTTCGTCCGCCTCTCCACCCCTCCCGATCCACCCCTTGACATCCCCTACCTTCTCCCTCCCTCCACCCCTTCCCCCGTCTCTCCTCACCAATTTCTTCACATGACCCATGAGCACCCCGACTCCACTTACTATTGCCTTGTCATTGACCGCGACCGTCCCGAGGACTTGCTTCCAACGGACAAACCCGACCAAGACCCCCCCTCCGACCCTCAGATCTCCGCCCTCCTATCCGAATCCTTGCCCGACGGACTACCTCCCGACCGAGGTGTTTCCCAATGAACTCCTTGAAAAATGATTCATTAAGCCTAGCTCCTCCCCCTTCGGCACCAGCTGTCTCTTCGTCAAGAAGAACGACACCTCGGAACTCCGCATGTGCACGGACTACCGCACCTTGAACCGGATCACGATCAAGAACAAGTATCCGCTTCCCCGGATATCCGAACCTCTTGATCGCCTCCGTGGAGCCAAATACTTCACCAAGATTGACCTCCGCAGTGGTTTCTACCAGATGCATCCGCGAGGAGGACACCCACAAAACCGCCTTCCGCTCCCGCTTTGGGCACTACGAGTTTCTCGTAATGCCTTTTGGTCTCACCAACGCCCCCGCCACATTCCAATCCACCATGAACCACGTCTTCCACGACCTCCTCGAAGTCTGTGTCGTGATCTACCTCGACGACATCCTTGTTTTTAGCCCCACCTTCGAGTCTCACCTTGATCATCTCCGCCAAGTTCTCGCCATCCTCCGCGACCAGAAATTCTACGCCAAGCTCAGCAAATGCACATTTGCTGCCTCTAGCGTAGAATACCTTGGTCACATTGTCTCCACCGACGGCATCCGCATGGACCCCAAAAAGGTCTCTGCCCTCGTCGAATTCCCCCCTCCCACCACTTTAACCCAACTTCACTCCTTCATGGGACTCGTCAACTATTACCGCCCCTTCATCCGCAACTTCTCCAATGCTTCCTACCCTCCCCATGAGCTCACCCGTGCCACCGAACCCTTCGCCTGGACAGACCGCCGCCAAACCGCCTTCGACAAACTGAAGGAGCTCATCACCACTGCCCCTGTCCTCAAAATCGCCGACCCCACTCGCCACTTCTTCGTCGCCACGAATGCATCCGACTTTGCCATCGAGGTCATCTTATCCCAGAACTTTCCCCCCGACCCCGCGGAAACCCCCTCCATCAAGGACTCCCCCACTCACTCCCAATGCCCATCCGGCGAGCACCCCATCGCATTCGCCAGCAAAAAACTTCTTTCCACAACAATGAACTACCCATCCAATGAGAAGGAGCTCCTCGCCGTGGTCTACGCCCTCAAAGTCTGACGCCTGTACCTCGACGGGCAATACTTCACCATCCGTACCGATAACACCGTCGTCTCCTCCATCTTGACCAAGAAAGACATCACCCCTTGCCAAACCCGCTGGCTAGAGTTCCTTGCCTAATTTACCTTTACCATTTGTCACACCCCTCGCAAGAGCAACCGCGTTGCCGATGCCCTCTCCTGCCGCCCCGACCACAAGCCCCCTGAGAAAGTCTACGCCGCCATGACCCACATCCAGCTCCTGCCATCGCTCTACCATCGCTACACCCAAGGATACCTCTCTTGCCCCGACTTCTCCACCATCTACAACAAACTCCGTGACCTCGACCCTGTCTCCGGCTACGCCCTCCACGACAACCTTCTCCACATTGAAACCAAAGGCACCCGCCGACTCTGCATCCCTGACGCTCGTGGCCTTCGCACCCAGCTCTTGGCCGAGCACCACGACGCCAAGATCGCTGGCCACCTTGGTTTCCAGAAAACCTTTGATACCATCTCCCGTTATTTCCATTGGCCTTCCCTCCTTGCTGACGTCAAAACCTACATTCGCTCGTGCCCCACGTGTCAGGCCGTCAACCCCTCAAACCGGGCTAAGCCCGGCATGCTTCAATCATTGCCCATCCCCAGCCACCGCTGGCAGTCCATCTCCATGGACTTCGTGTGCGGTCTTCCCAAGACCGACCGCTGGCATGACTGCATCTACGTCATTGTTTGCCACCTGACCAAACGTGCTCACTTCATCCCATGTACCACCTCACACAACGCCAAAGACATTGCCATTCTCTTCTTCGACCATGTCGCCAGACACCACGGCCTCCCCGAGAATATCATCAGTGATCGTGACCCCCTCTTTCTCTCTCAATTTTGGAAACAACTCTTCAATGCCTACGGAACCACGCTCAGGTATAGCATTGCATTCCATCCACAGACCGACAGTCAGACCGAGAAGATGAACGATACTCTCCAAAGAATTTTGCGGAAGTATTGTCATCCCCACCAACATGATTGGGATCAGTTGCTCACCGCCGCCGAGATTGCCTACAACAACGCCGTTTGCCCTTCCACTAGCATGTCCCCCTTCTACCTTGACCTTGGCTATCACCCACGCTTGTCTTCTGACTTCTTGCTCCCCTCGCAACTCAACCCATCCTCCCCCTGTCCCTCTCTCAATGAATGGGTTGCAACAATGAACCGTCTCCTAAGAGAAGCAACCGAGTCACTCAAGCACACCCAGGAACAACAAGCTAAGCAATCCAACAAGCATCGCCGTGATATCACCTTCCAAGTAGGGGACAAAGTCTAGCTCTCCTCCAAACGCTTTGAACCCGAACAGGGCTTGTCCAAGAAACTCTCGAACAAGTGGCTTGGTCCCTTCCCCATCATTGAACAAACCTCTCCCGTGAACTACAAACTCCAGCTACCCCCTTACATAAGCCGTATACACCTAGTCTTCCACGTAGAATATCTCAAGGAATACCACGAATCCCCGCTTCAGTTCGCTGACCGCCCATATCCTCGACCTCCACCTATCATGCTTCCCACTGAACCAGAATTCATAGTCGAATCAATCATAGGAAGAAGAACAACCCAAGTCGCAGACCATCCGGAACCAATCACTGAATGCAAAGTCAAATGGACCGGATACCCTGACGAAGAATCAACATGGGAACCCCTTGAAAATCTCAAGAATGCCATGAGACTTGTCCGTGCCTATGATCGTTCCCACCCTGCATCCTAGCTACCCCCCCTGCCCATACCCTGACTAAACCTTGAACCCTTGCTTAAACCCTGCTACAACCTCGCCACCTTGCTCTACACACACCCCCGCCACAGCCACCTTTGCCCTTGATCCACTTTCCTAATGTCTGATCTGCCCTTGTTCCTCGCCTCGCCTTGCCCCATTCGTCCTCTCCACTTCCTTGTCCATCTTGTCCAATGTTTGTGGACATGCGTGACGACTGGCGATAAAGGATCTAATGGCATGTGCACGAGGGCGATGGCTTGTTGCATCACTGTTCATGGAGATTATGCAGCTGGATTGGCCACCATGCTGCTAAAACGGCCTGAGCACTTCAACTTGGCCTTTTGGACTATCTCTACGACTATCTCCTGTTGTAGCCGCTGAAGACCACCTTGCTGCTTGCTTTGGGACCTGCTCAAGACCTCCGAAGACCCCTTTCTTGTTGCTGATCAAGACACGTGAAGAGCCCCCCCTGACCCCTTGACCCATTACAGACCTCAAACTGTGTACCCAGATCCCATCAGACACCCCAACCCTTGTACATGTGAATTGTGCCCTTGATCTTGCAACATACAATTCTTTTATTTTATTTTTCGTCCCTGACAACCCATAACTTTGTAGAATTTCAATAGAAATACCCCGTTCACCCTTGTAGAACATCAATAGGAATACCCTGTTACCAGTTTCCCATTGTAGAACATCAGTAGGAATACCCTATCCCCTGTTCACCCTTGTAGAACATGTGTAGGATATCCTGTTACCTGCTCCCCCTTGTAGAATATCAATAGGACTATCCTGTTTCCCTGCAATACCCTTAGCCCACCAGTAGGATAACCCTGTTCACATCCCACCAACACGACACCCTGTGCCTTATCACCTACATTATACTCCTCTTCCTCCTTCGACTTGTTGACCAGTGATCGGCCCCGTCCCGTCGTTCACAGCTTTCAGCATGGCTTCATGACTTTTAGCAGCCGGGACGTTGCCTTCTAGAGGGAGGGGATAGTGTTACGGACTCCGCCAGGGCTCGATCCCTGGTCCATCTTTTTGTTGTTTCTGCTGTTTCCCGTTTTCGACCTGGCACCCTTTTTCCAAACCCCTCCTTTGGTACCTTGGACAACTGGCGCCATGCTGCAATTCAGGCGCCACTTTTAAATATCGCACTTTTCAGTTCTGCCCCCGGGGCTTTTGCAAATCTGCCCCCGGTACTGTACCGGACACCCGGTACTTATACCGGTGCCCCGTGCAGTACGGGGACCCAGTCTCGTACCAGTTTTGAGCTGCTGTACTCGTACTTAGTATGACTTGCTCCGGTTTCGACATCCGGAATCCAAGACTTCGACTTCGTGTCCTTGGCACTCTGTCTGCGTTCGACCCTCGTTCGTGTTAAGTGAGTGAGTGTGTGTGTGTGCTGTCACTCTCTTCCTCATTCTCTCCTCTCCCTCGGCTCTCCTTGTGTCCCTCAGCCTCACGCCTGCTACAATTTTGATCATATCCACATCCAACCGCCCTCTCTCTTCATCATTAAAGTAAAATGCACCTGAGAACTCCTGACACATTTTGAAGATATATTTTTTATTTTTAGGCAGGATAAACTGATCCGAGCCTATCTTCATTATGTCAAATCTCTCTTTGGTGACTCTTTTTTTCAATTTTGCAGACTTTCTTAATGTTTTATTAATTTTCCTCTCTTTTCTCAATGCTTCATCATAATCCTTTTCTATTAGGACTGCCACCGGGTTTTTCTTCAACCCCTTGGGCTTGTATTTTCTTTTTGGCTTAGTGACTCTTTTTCTAAAAAAGGATGAGTCGATGAAAATTTTAATTTCATCCTCCCTTCCTTAGCAGTCTCTACAACTTTCTTGAATGCCTCAATTTGTCCATCTTCATCTTTGAGATTACCAAGGGCTTTTACCATTTTTGAAACTTGATTAATGCCCACTGAAATTTCTTCTTTTACCTTTTGTTTGCCTTCTTCTCTTAGTCTCATAATCTTTTCAGTAGAATCTTATTTTCTAATTGAATTAGCAGACAATCGATGCTTGAAATCATTTTTAGTGCAGACCATAAAGGTCCATTCCTGAGCAGTCTCAGGATCTTGTAAGCCGATCCAGGAGGAGAGAAGGTTAACCGACCCCCCATTTTTCAGGTCAATTTATAAGAAAACCATAAGGTCATTTCAAGCAAACTCCACACCAATGTATAAAGTGCACTTCTTACTAACATATTTAAAAAAAAAAAAAAAAAAAAAAAAA